CCTGGAAGAAAAAGAAGAGGGCAGGAGGAGAGACAGAGTCGCCGCTAAGGCGACAACAACGCGTTTGCAGCGTGTGATCACAGACTCAACTGATCGATGCTGTGATGTCGCAGGCCGACGTTGTTCCGTTCGGGGTGCCTGCAGCCGGCACACCGCCCAATCATGGCGGGTCGTGCGTTTGAGACCCCAACAGTAGTCTTCAACAAAGACGAGCCAAGCCTTTTGACATGCTGCGATCGGAAATACGAACGAGAAACAGGGAGAAGAGCAGAGGATATCATGTGACAGAGGGATGTGACTGCCTCTTGTCATTGCAGCCTTGGAAACGGAGTCCCTCAGGACTCTGCCAAGTACTGTACACTTGGATCTTACCTTATAACAGCCTTCCAGTCTAACTTCGCTCGACTGGCTTGAAGAAATAATATCAGAGACTTTGGAACCTATCTACGATACCGCATAGTTTTGATTATTTGCTTTCCAGGTCATATCCATACCGTAGACAGTGTGAATCTATCTTCTCGTTACTGACGTGTACGTCTGAGTAAGAATAGTATACTGCATATGGCAACGGGCGAGACGATCAATGATCGAGCTAAAAGTGTTCAACGTACTTATCTTCCAAGGCTTGTAATACGCGGCAAAGAAAATCAGTGCAAAGGTCGAGTGTGGTATCACTCCCGTGCACATGATCTCGTTTTGCACCTTGGATTTTGTGCTAGACTTGGAAAAAACAACTGCGCGCGACCTCTAGATTGCCTCAACTAGTCGACTGGCCTTGGTCCTGGCTATACTTCTCCCTTGAGTCGACCCCAAAGGACTTCGCGACGAACCAAGATGCGGTAATAGGTGGCTTCTTGCCTGAGTGGTTCTCGACCAGACCCGCCATTCCAATAAAATACCTAAATTTATGCGTCTGTAATGGGAGAATCCCAAGGCAAAGAAGGGGAGTTTAGGAACTGGAGCATACTGTACATACGTCTGTTTATCTGCTTGACCAAAGAACCATGTTCTGCTTCTGGCCGGACAGCAAAGAAATCCGTCTGCCAGAAGACTCCTGTCAGCTGACGTCCATCACGTGGTAAAGCCATAGAACTGACTCCAATGTCTCTGCCAGATGCTCCTCAATGATGGCCGTCTCTTGCTTGGCCAACCATGGACTTTAGACATGATCAAAATGTTCAAGTAGCCTCCTGGGTATGGGTCCTTATTGCCTTGAACCAGCACTGCACGACCATGATAGAACAGGGTTCGCCTCGACATTTGGCATTTTCGATGGCATTACGTTCATCAGTAAAATCTGTTCCCCCATCCTCATAATGAGAGTTGGAAGGCCTGATTTTGCACTCTGAGGATCTGTGCATAGAAGTCATGATGGGAGATAAGAAGACATGAGAAAAGGGAAAAGTCAGAGAGAGGGAAGCGCTAAATGAGAAAAGAGCTGCACAGCAGAAGTTTCCGAGACAAGATGGCTGCCAGCAACATGGAAGGGCTTTTAGAATTTAACTTAATACAGAAATCTGCTAAGAAAGAATTTTTTTTGATAGACAGCGATTATTACATGCAGCCATTTTCATGGGAATCCTGATATCAATCACCATCATAAAACTGAATCTATAAGATCATATACAGCACATAAGCGGTAAAGGGAAACTAGTAATAAAGCCAAAAACAAGGCGTTCACAGCCGTTATAGAAGCCTTGAACTAGACAAATATCATATCCCACTTAGAGTAAGCCATTCTGTCAACCGACAGTAATTCTGACCCCTGCCAGATCGCCGCCAGCGGGATGCGGGAACGGGCCGCCAGCCAAAGTTATGGGCGGCGTGTTGTCCGGGGGATCATTACCGCTCGACTCAACCAACGTTGCTGCCTGCAACTTGGTGTGCTCTCAGCCTGCGGTCGAGTCTTGATGTCCTCGCAGGCTATTCGAACACTCCTCTCGATAGGCTGCAGCGGGCGGTTATCCAAGGTGATGGTGTTGCGAATGGCACGAGACGATGGCGTGTCCTTGGTTGAGTGGCGCATTGTGAGTGGTCGGCGAGGGTGGCTGGGCGTCACAAAGAGCAAAATCAAAACAAACACGGTGCCTCAACCGCCAACCAGCAGTCCTGCTGCAGCGAGCACAAGCAAGTGTAAAGATATATATATATATATATAGGAATGTACAGTGTAGACTTAATTGTTGAACGTAATTAGACGTCTTACTTGCCAGCCTCAATTCGAACGCCAGCCACAGCGGTGTTGGGACTCGAAAGAACGGTGTGATTCCAGCAGCATTTCTTCGTTTCCGAGCAATTGAACAGCACTGAGCTAACCAGGTACAGTAAGGGACCTGGGCGGTGCTGAATCCTGACGTATCCTGTGACTGGTGCAGTGCGGTGCGGTGTGCAAATTTAGAGGGGACAGTCATCAAGCTGCAAAGTCAGACGTGTCAACTGCAAGCCTGCTCAAACAAACTCTCCTCCAGCATCTTCTCTGGGAATTTTGCTGTGCTCTCTATGCATCTGCATCCCTGAGGTAGAGCCCCTATTCTTGCCACAGACTTTTGTTGGAATTGATTCTAACTGATAACTGCCATTTTTAGGGTGTCTGGCCTGCCCCATTCTGTGCAACGCGCATCCATACCTGATCTGCAACCGCACGACATCATCCTCTGTCACCTTTCCCCGCAGCTCCATTCAACAATTGTCACTCCTACAATCGTTGTGACCAGAAATAGGACAGCACTGGAGGCCACGGCCTCCGTGCCACCCATGTTGCTGTGAACATGAAGTCAATATCGCTCCCGTTTGATGCTCAGATTCTGCGAAACCGCCAGGACCCGTAACCTTCCAGCAAGCGAAGGACTGGGTGCAATTCTAACTGGGGAGTTCGACGACGATTCGGAAATAATCCCTTGAACACACACGGCTCAAAGTTGCTACAATGGATGGACCTCCTCCGCCACCTCCGCCGCATGGCACAAATCCCCAGACGACTCATGGGAGCGAAAGGTATCGGAAAGCAACCGATCTGCCCGATGGCAACTATGACATCTTCATCATTCCTCCCCACTCTGCTGGCTCTGGCTTCATCTACCTGCCGTCCTTACAATGCCATCGGAACAGCTTCATCGCCGGCTCATTGTCCACCCTTCTTGCGGTGGTAATATGGATGACAATCCTTCCCACGGTCAAGAGCTGGTTTGCGACGACTGTAGCTACCGGCGGAATGGGGATGATTGTCCTCATCATCGCTGTTGGTGCTGCTGGATGGTTGTGGGGTGTTTCACAAGCTGAAGGAGGCGGAAGTGGGGGATCGCGAGGTGGTAGACGTCCCGGTGGTCCTGGCGGTCATAATGGCCCTGGTGGCCCTGGTGGCCCTGGCGGACCGGGTGGATTTGGGCCTGGGTCTCAGTATAATGGAGGACAGAATTTCGGTGGCCATTTTGCGCAGGGCGGATCGACCACGGGCGCTCAGTATTCTGGTAATCAATACAACACCGGGACCCCCCCACCTCAATCACCACCTCCACCTCCACCACCGCATAATAACAATAACAATAATAATCAGGGAACAAACACCAGCAAAGCTGAAAGCGAATGGGAGAGGGCACGTGAAGAGACAAAGCGGAAGGAAGAAATTCGACGGAAGATGGAGGAGTACAAGAGGAAAAGAGAGGCGGAAGAGATGGAAAGGAAGCGACAGCGAGAGAGGGAAGAACTGGAGAGAAAGTTCAGAGAAGAAAAGGAGAAACTCGAGAAGGAAGCTGCCGAAGCCAGGGAAGCTGCCGAACGGGAGAGGGAGGCTGCTGAACGAGAGCGAGAGGCAAGAGCCAGGGAGAAGGCGGAGAGGGAAGCAGCCGAAAGAGAGGCAAAGGAGAGGGCCGAGAGAGAAGCTGCTGAAAGAGAGGCCGCCGCGAAAGAAGCAGCAAAGAGAGAAGCTGCCGCCAGATTTGCTGCGGCTAAGGAGGCTGCCGCGAAGAAGTATGCCGCTGCAAAAGAGGCTGCTGCGAAAGAGGCTGCTGCGAAAGAGGCTGCCGCCAGAGAAGCGGCTGCCAAGGAAGCAGCTGCTAAAGAAGCAGCCGCAAAAGAAGCAGCCGCACAAGAAGCAGCCGCAAAAGAAGCAGCTGCGAAACCATCTCCCAAAGCTGCCAATTCAACTCCATCAACAACACCGCACACTCCCTCTCCCAAGAAGTCTCAGCCCACTACAAGGACTGCTGCAGAGGAGGACGATGCCTATTCATTCCGTCCATATGACAGGCCACGTCGGCCATATGGTACGTCGGCCTCTTCCATCTACTCAGAGTCTTCATATGCACCTTCGCAGTCGACTGCGCGGACGACACCCCCGCCATCGACTCGGGAACCGTACTTCACAAAGGATCCCGAGAAGGTTATTATCAAGGGGGTGTATTTGTTCAATTCTGCATCCACAAAGGCTCCGATTGCCAAACTCGTGTCAGGACAAGGCACCGTCACTGATGGCCTGGTCATGCGTATCACGACTGAGGGATTGTTTGTTGATGATGACGTGCGGGGGGTTGCTGAACGTGAATGGGATGTGAAAGCGTGGACAATGAAACTAATTGAGGTATGCCGTCCTCTTCCCTGTACCATGAGTGTTATTTCACGAGTTCCTTTTGCTGTATGCATTTCTGGATGATCTCTTGAAGATCTGCAAGAATACGTGCCGGCATTTCCTCTTCTTTTTGGCCAGATGGCAGTTGTATTGATAGAGACGTGTCCCAATGCAGACGGCTGAAATGCGAGGCCTACAAGTTGTCCGGGCCAGCATCCGAGACCAAGAGGGCAAGAGATATGTCTTCATACTGCAAGATTCCGAGAGTTGGAAGGTAGGTCCGGGGATACAGCGGCTCCGACGCGGGTCCCAAGTGCGAGGATTGAATGTCGCTGGGTTGCCTTCAAACGAGTGTAAGGCCCTTCTCAGCAATCTCGGTTTCATTTGATCCGTCGTCCGATTTCCGCCAGACAGACTTTGAAGGTGTGGTGAGCAACGTTATCATTTCGGCTAGTTCCCCGATGCACATGATAGGCGCTGAATTGCTGCATTTGCTGCATTTCTGGTTGTCCATTTTGCATGGTCACATACATTTTCCGGTTGTGTCATAGGATATGCTTCTGTGTTTTATGTTTTCAGCTGTGTTTTTATGTTTTCATGTGTCATGTCAATCATTAGCGGCGGAGTTTTGCTTACGTTTGATGTCTATGACCCTGTCATGATTTTTTCGACTCAGTTATGCTCTCTTCATGATTCACGCAGATTCGATTCTCTTGCTTTGGTTGATGTAGATAGTTGATGTTTAATCGCAGATACCACGTGATTGCAGTCATGTGCTTGCAGATTCCTCTGTAAATGTACCGAGTAGGGAAATTTAAGCTTATTTCACTAATCTTACTTGAACACGGAATTACCCCAGTTTTCGTCAAACATAATGGTCATTTCCAAAGTAATCAATCATACCTATCAGTCGCCTATAATAACAAGACAAAAACGAAAAACAACAATATTCTCAAAAAAGGTCATTTTCTCATCACATGTTCATATCCATCGTAGCAGGTCATCACAGAGGACATCCATGCAAACCAAACAAGCAAACGACCAAACATATCATGCTCTTCTCTTTCTTTGAACACCCTTCTCATTCTTGTCATTGTTGTCCTGGTGGATAGTTGATGATGCCCTTCCTCCCGTGCTAATCACTCACTCGTAACAGGAATGGAATGGAATCAATGGCTGGCGGAGGCAGCAGCAGCGGCAATGCTGGTGGTATCTGTGGTAGAATGAAGGTGACATTTATTTAAGCATGAAGACACACGGCTTTTCTTTCATTCATTTCATCTGCTGCCGGGCAACGACAGATCGCGTACCATTCGTCCAGCTGTGCGTAGAACTCAAGCTCGCAGGTGGAGTAACTACTGGAATAGACCTTGCGGATGGAGATGGCGTAATAATAGCTGGTGTTGTCGATGGGCTAGAGACGACCACCGCCGAAGAGGTGGAAAATGAAGACGTGGGAGTGGGAGGCGAAACAGTCACCGACACCACTGGCGTAGATGCCGATTCAGACGCAGACGCAGTCGCAGTCGTAATGAGCGTCGAGAGCTCGACGCTGATATCAGTTGTGGTTGTAGTTGTGGTCTTGGTTCTGACTTCGGTTTCAGTTTCGATTGAAGTTTTGATTTCAGTCGTTGTCGTTGTGACTTCGCTTGTTGTGGTAGTAGTGCTGCTGGTGGTGGTGGCGCTGCTTTCGCTTTCGTTTTCACCTCCGTCGACAGGCACGACTGAATAAGGTGTCTTTCTTCGGTGGAGAGGTATTGTGTTGTTGTCCTCCGGCGTGGCCGTGAGTGGAAATGCCCCAGTTGCGCTGATTAAGGAGGTGAGGAGGAGGAGTGTTGCAGCGGCGTTCAGATGCATGATGATGACACGGCAAGAGAGAGGATATGTACTCCGTAGAAAATGGACAAGAATCTTAAGTATTCTGGAGTGTTGGACTTTTTGCTTTTTTTAGAAAAAAAAAGAGTTCCTCGTGAATGTAGATAGAAAAAGCAAAAGAATACGAAGAAAAGTTATGTACTGTCACAGTTATGATATCTATGAATTATATCAATCCACGATGTCTTCAAGATGAGGAAGAGAAATAAGTTACAGAAAGAAAAGAGAAAGCCACCCTAGAAGAAGAAAAAAGCCTACTCAATAATCCTCCTCCATGAAGAAAAATTAAACAAAAAAAAAGAATGAAGGCTGGGTGGCGTCTGACAAAACACTGGAAGACAGCCATGGATATACCTGATTAGGCCATGCGGAGTAACAGTCAATTGTTTACCTGGAGCTCTGTGGTGGAGTCTGCAGAGGAGGCTGGGAGTGGGAGATCTGGTCCCGCCGCACGCCGATTGATTGATTTGATTGGTCGCTGCGAGCACAGCAACCGCCCAGCCACACGTTATCGTCTCATCACCAAATAACCCTCTCTACGGAGTACTCAATGTTTCATTTCAACGCTGGTGCAACGGTGACACATCCCGGATCGAGGGCGAATTAGTTAGAATTAATTTTGATTGTTGGTTGCGAATCTTGTCGCAATATTTGGAAATAAGTTCTAGACTTCTACAATGAGAATTGTGGAGTATGGTTCCATCTTCCGATTCGGGTTACATGTACTGTACATGGAAGACTGGCTGGCTGTAAGAAATTCTGTACAGAGTAAATAATATCCTATGGCTCTTCTGCCTATTTTTTTTTCAAATTGCCAGGTCCTCCACCCTGATCAATCCACTCCCCATACCCGCACTCGCCCACCCCGCGCATCGCTGGTTGGGATTCCACGCCAACGCCGTGATGTGGTTCTCGTCGTCGTAGATCGTAATCGCCATCACGCCGTTGACGATCCGGCGGTCGCCCATCATCGTCCGCAGCAGACTGACGCTCTCTGCGCGGAACCCGTCCAGGAACCGGCTCACATTCGGCTTCCCGGGGTCCGCGCCTCGGGCCCATTCCTGCGTGAACCACGTCAAGTGCCAGTGCCTATCCTTCGAGTGCAGCAGTCGACGCAGCGGGTTGAGGGCCACAACACTCCCGCCAGCGCACCCGATCAGGCCCGATGGATGCCAGAAACTGCTGGGCGCTAGCGCCGTCACGGTGCTCTGCATTCGGCCCACGGTCGTGGTCGTGTAGAACCGTCGAACAGCCAGCGACCGGATGAAATCGTTCTCGTCGTTCGACAGAAACGCCTGCAGAAAAGGGGAATACGAGATGTGCATCGAGCCCAATCGCATCCGGTTCGTGTCGACCACGTCCTTCTGAGGGTCGAGGATGGAGGTGAGTCGCGTCTGGCCGTCCATCGACGTCGTCCCCAGTAGATGAGGATGCTGCGGATACCCAGAAGCAATGCCGGTGATGTACGTCAAGTGCACCGGGAAATACAAGTAGGGGGACGGATCCGACGCGGGCTCGGTCTGGCAAGACGACGCGAGGCTCCAGATCCCAACAAAGCCATTGGCGCAGCCAACGGCAATGTCACTCGGAGAGAGCCAGGTGATGGCCGTGGAAACAGTCGAAGGAGGTTTGCAGTAAAAGGCCGGCGATTGTAGTCGATCTGTAGTCCGCTTGGTTAGTAATGGAATGGCTATATTCGACAATCTGGGATGTCTTGAATCCTTACAAAATTCCGTAGAATCTGAAATGCTTCCCAGCTTGACGTCAAGGACCCGGACGGCGCCATCTCCCCATATGCCAGCCAAAAGGCCTAGGCTGTGAGAACCGTCCTTATCGTCTTCATCACGTCGCCTTCGAGCCATCGGACACCAAGCGATCCGTCTGATATCCCCCCAATCCGTACAGATTACCAGCCGTAGTTTCGGCTTGCGCGACATATCGAGACTCTTCGTCAATCCCCCGTCTTTGCTGGCTTCAAATGACCAGATCTGCAATGCGGCAGGATACGGTTCAGATGGCGTGAATGCTGGAGCACCAATAGGTTCTCCACCCACTCGATGTTCGTCCTTCTGCTGCTCGGTGATCGGCACTGCGATGGCCAAGTACTGAGTGTCGCCATCCTGGTTGGGAGCCCAAGCCAGACACTGAACTTTGTTTCCCATGTTCAGGATCCATCCTTCCCGAGGCCTTTTCTGGTTGACCGGGGGTTCCTCACTCGGCTCTTCTTTTGCTTCAACAGAAGGAGGAGCTTCTTCAGCATCCTCGTCACGCCGCTTCCTCCCTCTCTTCTTGCGGGGTCTGCTGTCATTCCACGCTTCGCCAAAATCAAGGCACTCATTCTGTTGCAAATGGAAGACTTTCTGGTTATCGACCGGTCCGATAATGACCGTGTGTTCCCTTTTCTGCGGCCGTGGTAGATATCTCTGGCGGGCTGTTTGCTCGTCAATGCTCTCTATTCGCTGTCGCTTCCTAAATCTCCCTCCAAGATTGTCGTCATAATACCAGTCCCAGCCTGTCATTGCTTCCATCTCCATATCTTCCCCCGCTACCCCAAATGTTTTGCCAGGCCCGTAGTCACCCAGGGATTCAGCCTCGTCCAGAGATATCCTGCTTGGGAGTGCCGAGTCAATTCCCCGGTACCATCGATCCCTGCCGTAGATCGTTGCGAGGAGATCGCGGTCGTCCGTTCCAAACGTCAGCTTCAAATGCATAGACTTGCTGACATGCTCCATCGGATTCCAGATCCCACGGTTGTGAGTTTCATCCCGATGAAAAGCGACCGGTCGTCTCTTCTTGCTGGGTCGTGATTTCGTAACAGAAGCCGCCTCCTCATTGAGAGACTCTTCATCGTCATCAAACATTTCACTCCCTTCATCAAGCTCGTTGATCTTGCCTGGCAAGGGAGCATCTTCGTCGTCTGGGCTTTCGTCTGATCTCAGTTTCTCCTCTCTGCCAAGTTCCGTTTCAGCAAAGTCTTCGTCTGAAGAATCCTCTTGTCTTTTTCTGCCTCTCCCTCTCCTCTTACGCGGCCTGTCTGAGATGTCGTCCTCAGAGGCCGAATCTGCACAGATCCCAGCTGCTTCAAAGGGGTCGTTTGTGTACTTTGTTCTGGCGCCATCTAGGCGGCCTGGTCTGCGGGCTGGAGGCATTGTAGACCACAGAGAAGAGAAATTCATAACAAGCCCAGCAAGAGTCGATGGAAATTAGCAGGTATATGAATGCGCAATGCTTAGCGATGACAGAATTTTAGTGGTGGTATCAGGCTATGTAACATGGGCGAAAAGACAGGCAAACTTCATCTCAGTGGGATATGAAACAATAGTACCAGTATTCAATAGCTGTATCTGTAAAGGCACAATCACCATTGTGTCGTCGGCATTTCGTCTGTTATTGTTGAGGTCAGTGAAGTGAATGGATGTTCACGTCACGGTAGATATCTTGGCGTCATGTCATTACATAAATTACGCAAAATTGCCTAACATCCTACCGCGTCACAGTGTATCTCAATGTAATAATTTACCAAATCCCAGTTATCTGCTACCAAGTGCAAGCACTGCCTAGGCAGGTAGCTGTCTCAACTCCAGAGCTGTAGATATTAAAATCTGTATTGGGATATCAAAAATACGGTATTATTCTACACAAGGAACAGCATAACCAGAAACAATTCAAGCTCACTACACTGTTGAGCTTGACAGATGGTATCACATGGCAAACAGCATCAAGAAAATCATGTCGCAGCCAACAATTAGAGAATGCATCATAAAGCCAGCCAGTCTCATCGTGGTATATATCCCATGCCCTTCCTCCACCATTCCCAGCAGCCTCGCTCCTTCATCACCGATCCAAACTCTTTAACCGTGTCCACTTCCCTCAATCCTGGTTCCACCTCGACATTGCCTGCTTCAGGCGTCTCGACTTCCCTAGGACCTGGCCTTGTGACTAGCTGATAGTCCTTATACCTCAATCTCTGAACCGTGCTCACCCACGCTTCTACATCTTCCTCCCGTCGCCCCTCGACATACATCACACCGGGGGTGCCGCCTGTGCGAAGGAGGACGAAACAGTTGTGGGCGTCTGCCGCTTTCTTCAGGGCTGCGATCTTCTTGCGCGAGGTGATATGGTGGGTGCGGATGAGGGCGCTGAAGAGCATTCTCTTCCTGTGTGGCGGTTGCAGCTGGGGTGGTTGCTTGAAGAAACTTGGGCCGAGCAGCTTCAGCTCTAACGGCTTCGGGAACTTATCGGTGGCGGTTTGCGGTTAGCACCCCACTTCGTTATCATCATCGGTAAATCTCTCTGCAGGTCCTTGTCCGCTGTCGTGATCGTCTCCCCGCAATTGCCTTGAATTTTTCCTCTATTTACTAGGCAGACCGACGCGATTCTCAAGTTTCACTCTCTCTGGGATTATCAATATGGCTTCAGCTGGCGCTGCCAGAGGCCAGCCAGGAATACTCCACCAATATGTGCGGGCTCTACCATTCTCCAATGCTTTTCATCGCCGCGACTGTTTGCTGATGGAATAGCTCTCAATCTTGCATGCAGACAGATAAACTGGTCGCCTTTGAGTACACGTCTTCGACAATTACGAGAAAAAAGCCCCACAGTTTACTGTTCATCGGAGGCCTGGGAGATGGCTTTTTCACCGTTCCATTTGTTGCGGACCTGGCCGCAGCTCTAGAGCCTACCGACTGGTCTCTCTTCTCCGTCCTTCTCTCCTCTTCCTACACAGCATGGGGGTTGGGTAGTCTGGATAAAGACGCGGAAGAGATTGCCCAGTGTGTGCAGTATGTCCAGAAGTACAAGGAGGCCCAGCAGGGTGACCAGCCCGGCCCCCGGAAGATCGTTATAATGGGTCACTCGACAGGAAGCCAGGATGTCCTGCACTATCTTTATTCACCCAATCCATTGCCGCCAAATCCGGTGTTCGACAATGGCGTGAAGCATATTACGCGACCGGAAGTGGATGGAGCGATTCTCCAAGCCCCCGTTTCGGATCGACAAGCTGTCACAGAGGGGCAGATAAATGGGACGGATAAAATGAGCGATAACGAATTCGCGACGACGTACCTACAATTAGTGGATAGTGCCAAGCGGGTGACGTATGCAGAGCATAACACGTTAGATGTGCTGCTTCCCCTCTCCATGACCACGAAATTAGGATATCCGCCAGACGTGCCAATGAGCGCAAGGCGATTCCTGAGTCTCACGAGCCCGGACAGTCCAGAGAACCCGCGGGAGGACGACCTGTTCAGTTCGGACCTGACCGACAAGCGGCTGCAGGAGACTTTCGGGATGATCGCAACGCGAGACCTGCTCAGGTCCAAACTCTTGGTTCTGTATTCTGGGAATGACCAATACTGCCCGGCAAGCGTTGACAAGGAGGCGTTATTGCAGCGGTGGAAAGCCGCAACTAATAAGATTATCCGTACGGTCTGGGATGATGAGCATAGCGGCGTCATTCCCGGGGCCTCGCACAATCTCGAGGGTGAGGGCGAGGCTGAGGCTAGGCGCGACCTCGTCTCCAGAGTGATGGGATATCTAAATGACGTCGAGAAGCTACCTTGAACAAGCAATTCCTTATGAAATTTTGTCCCCCTCGTTTTTTCGCGGTTCTTGTCCTGGAATCTGCTATCCTGAAGATGTTCCATTTGGGCTAGACTTCAAATGGGTTCTAACAGGATCACGGATCCACAATCTAATTAATATACATGGCAAAAGGAAAATCCCGACTTGGCAGACCTGACATCAACCATTACAAAGAAAAGAAATGTTTCGGAAAGAGAGAAAAATTATAAGGGTATAGCAGCGAGCCTTGAGCAAAAATGGAAATAATTAGGCAGCTGCGGAAGTGACCAGCTCTCCGCTCTTCATCAGGCAAAATGCCCAGTTCTCATATGAGTAATTTCCTTCAGACCTTCAGCCACAGAAGGAAAACGCCCTTGAGATACTCGACGATCTCGTCACCGCCGAGCTTGCTCTCTCCGTAGAGACGATCCACGAACGTGATCGGGCACTCCTCGACTTTGTAGCCGAGGGCCTTGGCGCGGACCATCATCTCCATCTGGAACGAATAGCCCTTGCTCTGGGTGCTGGTAATGACCTTCTCCAGCACGTTCTTCTTGTACAGACGGAAGCTCCCGGTCAGATCACTGACTCCCGGCATCAACATGACGTCCGCGATGAGGTTCGCCGTTCGCGACGTGAACTTGCGGAACAGGTCCCAGCCATAAACGCCACCCCTCTGATTTCCACGCTTCGCGTATCGCGTTCCGGTCACGATGTCGGCGTTGGTCTCCTTCTGGATCTTGATCATGTCGGGGATGAACTTGGGGTGGTGGCTGAAGTCGGCGTCCATGATGATGACGAAGTTGCCTTTCGCGAACTGCAGGCCGTGAACGTAGGCAGTTCCCAGACCCAGTTTCCCAGCCCGTGGCTTCAGAACGATGTGCTCGGGACCCCAGAGCTTCTGGAGCTGTTTCGCGACCTCTAGCGTCCCGTCAGGGGATCCATCGTCCACGATAATAATCTCCCAGTCGAGGTTACTATGTTGCAAGACGACGGTTAGCAGTATTCTCCAGAATACTAGGGTAAATAAATCGGGGGAGATGCGTACTTTTCTCTAAAGGTCTTCTCAAGCAGCCAAGAGATGATTGGCAGGTTCTTGCGCTCGTTGTAGGTAGGAAGAATGACGGAGTACTTGTCCCCTGACGTAGCCATTTTGGCTCTTCGATTTTATGACAGCTCCAACACAATCAACGAGACTAAAATCGCGGAGCTGTTAAATCAGAATAATGGGCAGGTCGGAGCTGGACTTTAGCGCGTTGTTGTTGAGCTTGAATATGGAGGCCAGCTCGCAAGATCCCAGGAGGCGTCCTCACCGCCTTCGGCAGAATCAAGCTCATGTCCTAGTCCGGGCACGGGCATTGTTATCGATCGCGGGACAGGGACCGTGCTAAGAACAATAACATCATATCCGGCATGCATATCGTGTCGTGATCTGCAGCCATTCCAAGCCACATGGGACCGGAAGGTGAATCTTGAAGGATCTAGTCTGAATGCTCTGACTCGCATCTGAGACTCTGTACCCACCATCATGGCCTCCACTCCAGGTTCCAGACACCGCCGCAATGTCTCCTCCCGATGTAAGAAGCTCCCCTCCAGCGAGCATCTGATGACTGCGGTCTATCAGCTCCCCAATGCTGTCGTTGTTCATTCTCTAAATTCCCCATCTGCATTATTAACATGACTCCAGCTCGACCTCGCGCACCAACGAAAGGGCCGTTAGAGGTGGCTGAGGAGTAAGTCCAAGTCCTGAATAGTGGCATCTCCGATACTTGGACCTCATCTTAGAACGCGGCTGATGAGCTCAGTCCTCTTGGTGCTTCAGAGAATCCTGGGTCGCCTCAGAGATCGAAACCTCAATCTCCAGTCAACACGAGCAATGCTTCTCATGCGCCCTCCCCCAGTCCATTGGACCAATTTGACGCTATGCGCGCCGAGTTGGATAGCATCATGACGACGCAGGACTCGCCTCCGTTCACAAAGGACCTATCATACCTTCTTCGTGCAGACATGTATCATCCGCTCTCGCAGCTCGATATTCCGCCCGCCTTTCGCTCGTCGTTCTATCAACCTCCTCCGGGAGAGCCTCTGTCTTCATCCTTAAGCACCCTTAATACGTTGTTAGCCCAGGGCCATTTTCTTCTGGCTGCGCATCTGTGTGGGACACTATTGACGTCGCCTGCTATTTCCCCGACGGATCACAAGACAATTTTTACTCTGTTCTACACCCGCTTGGCATGTCTCGAGCTAACCGGGAACACCGTCTTCGCCGCACAGGAATCGAAGGCCCTGGAAGATCTAAGCTCCGCTTTTTACTATGTGGATGCGGATTTTGAGACAGCAGAAGAGGGACAGAGCCGCAGCCATAGAAGACAACCAATTCACATTGTACCGTGGCCACTACGCGTTCTCGCCGTCAGGTTACAAAGCATTGGGTTCGGAGATACGCGTCGAAGCGTGGCTGGATTATATGAGCTTGGGCTCGAGGCGCGAAGAGAGATAATGCGGCCCGATATTGACGATGCCAAAAAGCAGATCTGGAAGGCAAGATTGGCAGATCTGGGAATACGGAGTGTCAACGCGCTGATCGAAATGGGGGATATGGACGCCGCGAGACGGTCGTTGGACACCTTAAAGGGGAAAGGTGCTGACAACGACAGTATGAGGATGAGGAAGGTCCTATTATACTTGCGGATTGGGGATGTGGGAGCGGCGAAGGAAGTCCTGCAAGAATCTAGTGGCCTGGACGAAGGCATCCTGAAGCCTTTGATAAATATGGCGGAGGGCCGTTTTGACGATGCCGTCGCAGAGTGGAGAGCTTTGTTGGAAAAGAATTCCAACACATCGAGCGAGCCCATGATTGCGCAGAATTTGGCCGTGTGTTTACTCTACACCGGTCGATTGAATGAGGTATTCCACTCCCATGACCGCACTTCCCCTCTCCCTTCTAAATGCTAATCTCTTCGCTTTATGCAGTCTCGTGCCCTTCTCGAGTCTCTCGTCTCTGCGAACCACTCCTTCCCAAGCCTGACATTCAACCTATCAACCATCTACGAGCTCTGTTCGGAGAAGTCGCGAAACTTGAAGATGCACCTTGCCGACGAGGTTGCGAAACAAACTCACTCGGGAGAAACAAACCTGGATCGGTCAAATGCAGACTTTAAGCTCTGAGCACAAAAGACAAAAAGAAGAAAAGAGCTCACTCCAGCTGAGCGATGACGCCGACGCCTCTGTTGACGGATGTAAAACGATGCTGGTATCGATATGACTGTATGATTTATGAGCATGAAACGAAAGTTCCCAGGTTTCCACTGAGTTAATGATGCAACGATGCGAACCTGTTCTTTTAAACCAGAAAACATGCCAGAAGGAATGCGAAACGTGTTGGATGAACAATCTCAGGAACCCCGACCCTTGCGCCCATTAATAATGGCCCAAACGCCCGATGCCGTCCAGATGACAAGCCTATATATGCACCTCAACCAGACTCCCAATAGCATTACCCGCAAAGCTATCTTCAAGTCCTGGACTTCGGCTTCCGAATCCGAATCAAATCACCTTCCCTCTGCCATCCGAGGTTCTCCGTCTCCACGAGCTTCTCCCATGTCCAACCTTCCTCCCCCGTGCAGTTCTCCACCAGCCAGTGAACATTCACGGTCATGTACGTCCTCCCGATCGCCTTGAGAGCCCGCCTCCTAACGTCGTCTGCAGCCCAGTTCATCACCGCGCGCATATATCCGTCCACCGCTTTGCGAGTCCGCCAGAATAATACCCAGTTATCGTGCATGAGCGCCGCGAGAACACGCTCCACGAACACGGACTGGAAGCCATGTTTGGCTCTGGCACGGACCCATAGCGCATAGGCCGCGGCCATATTGTTCTGTCGACACGCATAGTCCAGAATCAGGTAGGAGGTGAACTCCGTGAGTTCGGACGCTGTGAGTGGATGGGCGGCGGTGTGCAAGTGGTCGAGCAGATAACGCAGGGAGGGGAAGTAGGACGGTGGATGGCGTGCCAGGATGGAGAGTCGAATTGAGAATATGTGCACTCTCTGTGCAAAGAGGACCGGCGTCGTGGAGGACGTGGCTAGAATCGCTTCCCGGAGTTTGCGAAGCGAGAGGAGGAGTGTAGACAGTTCTGCGGCCGGCGATCGCGCCGGGCGATGCTCCTCATCTTGCCCTCGTTGCGGAGACGGAGTCTGGGGCCCTGACTTGGCGCCCTGAGATTCTGTCGAAGAACGACGAGGAGGAGGAGGCGGGGGGGTAGAAGAAGTAGGGGCAGGCGGATTCCTGGTGGCGTCGGCCGAAGAGCTTGTAGGGAGCGAATTCAATGCCGCATCGAGGTCATGCGAATGCTGGGCACAAAACCGCATATACCGTTCCACGATCTTGTTGTAGTAGTCCTCTTGCGCCTTGTGGTCCAGCAACCTGTAGCAGCAGTCAGTGCTGTCGGGCCCAGACAAGGACCTGGCGGGCGGGATAGTACGTCTTGTCGCCCTTGGAGGGGAAGCCCACGCTTTCCAGGGGGTCCGACACCGGCCGCAGTCGGCCGGAACTGCCCTCGGCCTTCTTGAAAGGCCGTGGACGAGGTGGATTTTCCATTCGGCTTATTGTCTCATGGCATCAATGCGATCTCTTTGTTTCGTGACAATGGATCTTTCCTATTCTTTGCTCCTCCGCAGGAACATCCCGCGTGTTTGTCTTGTTTGCCTGCTCGGACCTCCGCCGAAGCACACGTGCGCGCCAGGAAACCTCGGAACGGCGTTTGTCTTGTTTGCTCGCGGACTGACCAAAACGGCAATTGCCTCGTCTCAACCCCCCAACATTTTCGTTTTTCTTCGATTCTTCTGTTGTAATTTTTTTTCTCTCTCAGTTGCTTTTGATTATGTAGATATTACCAATTTAATCTTTTCTTCTTTCTTTCCCCCTTTCTGTTTGTACAGTATCATTCATTCCTATTGTACAGTACATATATACTCCGGACATCCGTTAACCATGGGCACGGCTCGCCAACGCCGTCCCGGCCAGGGCTCGCAGAATGAGTCGAGCGAGGACAAGGACCCAGTCACGCCTGCAATGGTTGTCGAGGAGCCTGCAAAGGCCGTCAGAAAGCTCCTCCACTGGGACGAACTGCCGCTGTGGCGGCGAGATAACCACCTTATCCTCTCCGGCTATCGGCCGGCATCCTCGTCCTTCCTCATCTCCTTCCAGTCCTTGACCTATCTCCACAACGAGACGGTCAATATCTACAGCCATCTTGTGCCATCATTAGCCACCCTTCCCGCCGCGCTCCGCCTGTATCAAGTTCTTGTTCCCCGCTATGAGACCGCTTCGAGGTCTGACATTCTTGCCTTTGCGTGCTTCTTCGCTGGAGCCGCCTTTTGTCTGGGCATGTCGGCGACCTACCATACCATCTCTAACCACTCCGAACTAGTCAACCGGGTGGGCAATGCGCTCGACTATGTCGGGATCGTTGGTCTCATCACAGGCAGCTTCATCCCCAGCCTTTATTATGGCTTTTACTGTGAGCCCGGTTTGCAGCGCCTTTACGGGACCATGATCTGTGCTCTTGGTATCGGCTGTACCTGCGTCTGTGTGATGCCGCAGTTCAGGACGCCAGAGTGGCGGCCATTCCGAGCCGTGATGTTCGTCTCGATGGGCCTGTCGGCGGTGTTTCCTGTTGCGCACGGGCTGATGCTGTACGGCGTCGAGCAGATGATGCGCCAGATCGGCCTGGGCTGGCTGCTGCTCCAAGGTTTCCTTTACATCCTGGGGGCCGTCATCTACGCCGCTCGCGTACCGGAACGACTGTGGCCGGGCAAATTCGATCTCCTTGGGAGCTCCCACCAGATCTTCCACGTCCTCGTCGTCTGCGCCGCGGTGGCGCATCTCACCGGCTTACTGAGGGCGTTTGACTACCGGCACAGCGGCGTTGCGGAGTGGTGCACGTGACGTTTGATTGCGAATAGAACTAGAATCGCGTGTATATAGCAGCCAATACAGATTCTGGAATTGCTTCGGAATTGCCGTGATTGCTACGATCTAGACTGGATCTCTTGCCCCTTTCTTTTCTGGCTGTCGGCGTGCTCAGCCAGACGACCAGTGCACCCCGTACAATTGTGCATATCCACGAGTAAGACTACTCGCTTAGCCTTTCCCCATGCGGTGTGTGGTCCGGCTTTTGTGCTATGTGGAATATGACTATTTGGCAGACGAACGAATCATGAGGCCTCCAGAGCAGCCTGTTCGATCGGCAGAGTCTAGTGGATGTGGGAGAACAAAGGCCGGCACCAGGACGGCAGACCGGGATCGACAGTTGCCCTTCGCTTATGCTCATTCGGCCCCAGTTTCGATCAATGACTTCAATGACAAATATACATGAAGTGTGTGGTCCCTGTCAACTGCCATGGGAGCGACTTGCAGGCATTTTTGCTGAGGGTTCGTGACAGGATACCCGCGTGCCTTGTGTTACCTTACAAATGGGCAACGCCCGCATCAGAAAACTGCCCAAAGAGCTCCGCGCTGGCAATTTCCTATTTCGACCACTCTTGACGCCTGACCGCTCAGCGGGCGTGGAGGGTAAAGAAATAATCATCGGCAACCAGGATTCCGGGCTTGCTTCCTTCTCGCTCCCAGCAGAGGACATGACAAGATATATCCTATCGTCTATCGTCTCTCGTTCGGTTGAAACACAAAGGTGTCACAAAACGACGATGGCTATAGGTTAGAAAGGACAGCGGGCAATAAAAAAACATAATTTGTAAAATCGATTTAACAATGTAAAGCCGAGCGGATTTATATACGCGAATGCCGATGAGGGATGGCACGTTTGAAGACATACATATATATATTTATATTTGGCAACCCCAGTAGTGCGTTGCATATATACTTACGGTCGTTTTGCTTTTTCGCATCTCACCGGTTTTTCTTCTTTTCCATGTGATCGATTTATTTTAAGCATACCTTCAGCTGATACATCCAAGCTTATCACTGCCTAGGTAGATTACATACTTACATACATCCTCATCAGTATCGATAGCACCCAACGCAGCATTACAAGAATGACAGGCGCGCCACTCCTACAGTCCAGAGACGCTGCCGTCCTCGACAAGCCCCGACTGCGCTCCGCCTGCGACTCGTGCCGACAATCCAAGGTGAAATGCTCTGGCGGATCGACCTGCTCTCGGTGTCTGAAACAGGGAGTTCCCTGCAAATACAGCCTGGCGAGCCGAGCCGGAAAGCCGAAGGGCAGCCGGAACAAGGCGACGCTGAAAAAGCTCGAGGAGCTCCAGGAGAAGATCCAGCAGAAGATGCATTCGTCGAGCAGGAATGCCAGCGCGAGTGTCAATGCGAATGTGAATGTCAATGTCAATGCCGCCATCAACGAGGCGACTGCGCAGTTTTGGCAGTCTTTCAACAGCAGCAATACCAGCAGCAGCAATAGCAATACCAATACCAATGGCAAACCTGCTTCTTCGATCCCGATCTCCAGCTATGTGAACGCCAACTACGACGATAGCTATTACTATCAGGTGAATCCAAGCTTCGGCTATGAAGGATTTGCTCCAAGTTCTGGTTACGATGTGGAATGGAGCGCTGCTTCCCAAGGGGATTATTATTTCCAAGCTCCGTCTATGATCCAGACTCCCACTCTTGTCTCCAGCAGAGGATCGGCCTCGGCGTACAGCTCGCCTCTGCCGACTGGGCCGACGGAGGAATCTTTCCTGCTGGACAGTGCAAGGACTGATCCGGAGTCCTTCATCAGAGCGACGGAGCAGCTGCCTCAATCGTCTCCGCCGCGGTCTGTCTATGCATGTTCGCCTGCCCAGGATATAGCTAGCTCGTTCAAGTCTTCTGGCTCCTTCACGGAGTCGTCGACCCCTCAAGAGCCGCCATGCGACTGCTTCCAGAACCAAGCAGCGAGCCTGAGCCAGCTGTACAATCTCGACCGGGACAACACGGACCTCGCGCCCTGGCGCTTCGACTCGTCCATCCAAGCCGTCAACTCGGCGCTGTCATCCTGCCAGAAGTTTCTTCAGTGTCCGCTCTGCAGGAAGGAATGCACCAATCTGCTGCTGTCGATCTCGACGCTGGATCTTCTCTTCCGGGTGTTGAGGCAGCTGCTCTCGAGAGATAAGAATAATAATATCTCCCCCTCCTCGCAGGAACAGCACCAGGACAGCGAGCATATGTTTTTGCTAGAGGATGACGATAGCTGCAGCATCCGGTGCGGCCAGTACAGCGTCCCTCACGAGGAGGGAGCGCTCGTGCGCAGCTTTCTCATCCACAGGATGCTGAGTCGATCGAAGGAGGCACTGGCAGCGTTGAGGGAGATTGTCGAGACGTATCACGCTGCCAACGGGGACGACGTGTCACAGAGACGACGACAACAACAACAGCCTTGGGAAGACAGCCACGAAGTGAACTATGATCTCCTGGACGACGACAAAACCCTGCCGACGAAGGACGTATCGACACTGCTATTTTTTCGGACGCAGCAATATTATCATTCTTACAATTGCAATTACAATTATTACAATTGCGGTGGTGGTGGTGGCATTCATGATGAATCCTCCTCATCCTCCTCCAGAACGTCTTTTGTTGAACCTACGATAAACAACAGGCTGAGCCCGTCAGACGTCGTCTTCCTTCGCCAAGTCATCGGGCGGTGCGAGACGATGCTGGAGGGTTTGATGCGGACGTTTACATTCCGCTATGCGAGTGCGAATACGAATACGTATGCGTATGGGAGTGGCACTGCGACTTCGGGGGCCAGTCTGTAGTGAACTGGAACGGGACAGGGGGTATACAATCCGATGCAGCAGGAATATGTATCTAGGTACAGACATAACTATAACTATGCTAAATGGGGAGATTCCACTGAGTTTTTCCACTGAGTTTTTGCTGCAAGTATCAATCAATTAACTATTAACTAACTAACTAATTAATTAATTAATTTCAGTGCTTACTTCTTTATTACGAGTCTGCATAGGACTGGTCTGGCTAACTTTATTTTCTTAGCAAAATAGCTAATAGCCAGCTATTTCATAGCTAGCTTTTGTTCCTGTCATCTAATATTAAAAAATAAAACTAGATCTATCTATCTATCTACCTGTTCCCAGGTCCATGGATACATATACATATAGTCATGTCCGTCCCATCTGTCGAACATTTCTATGACTATGACATGTAGACCGCCATTTCATTTCCTTCTCTTCTCCCCCTTCGGGAAATACCTCCGTTTAGTCACGTCCATACGTACAGTACATAAATAAAATAAATAAATTAATGTCGTACAGACGAGACGAAGAAGACGTCTCTCTCGATGGGTCGGTCATTGTTTCTTTCCAGGGTCATCTGGTTGTTTCCGTTGCTTTTTCCTGACAAATACCGGGTGGTACGAAGGATCCTCGCTTCGAGGGTTTTGTATCACCATAAATAAATCACCATGGCTGTGCCGTCGATATTGCTAGTGCTATCACTATCACTATTTATTGCCAACCAACAGTAGCAGTATTAATAACTAGCAATAGTAATCTAATTAAACACCAGCAGTGTGAATGTGTGGATGTGGATGTGGATGTGGATCTATGAAAAAATCAAGGAAGGGAAGGGAAAAATCGGCATTCAACAAAGAAAAGAAAAAAAAAGCAGAACAAGGCAAATGACGAATGACAATGACACATGAAGGGAAGTCAAAGAAAAAAAAAGCGTCCAGGATAAAACTTTTCCCTCCTTTTCTTTTATTTTTCTTCATCAACCAATAAAACCCCTTCCGTCTCTTTCCCGTCCTGGAATCTGCTCGCTCAGCAGGCAAACAAACAAACAAAGCAGCTGACTCATTGAGCCTGGGTCTGGCCTGGTCCTGGCTGGCCCTGGCCTGGGCTCTGTGTCGCAATGCATCCGTCCATCCGGTATCGACATCGACAGCTCTCGGCATGTGTATCTAAGTTATGTATACTCCGGACTGCCGGACTGTAGCGTAACACCAACCAGCCCAGTCTTGGGTACCGAAACTCGGGTTCTCGGGTTTGCGTGCGTATGCATTATCGAGATTGTATACCCCGGAGTAAGATGTCTGTCTGTCGGAACTAATACGGATAAAAGAAGGACGACTCGAAGCGCCGCTTCTCGTACCAGGCCTCCCGGGCATCCTTGTGCGGCGTGCTCCCCATGTACGAGTAGTACCACGTCGCCTGGCCGTGTCGGATGCCGTACCCACGACACGTCTCGTCCCAGTCCCTGTGCTGATGGTGAGTCCAATAGTCGTCGTCGGACCGCCGCGGGCCTGTGGCTGTCGTCTTGTACATGCATCGCAGACACAGGCTGTCAAAATATTTACCCGTCTCGCGCACCGTCTTCTGGACGACCTGCCTGCAGTCGATGCGGCTATCGTCGCAGCTGTCCGGTTCTCCCTCATACGTGATTTGCGTAAGCCGGAAGAGGATCTCGCTGACGCTCGTGTGCGCGAACGTCCGCTCGAGCGGCCACACCTTGGCTTTCAGCATCGCTTTCTGATACTCGAAGAGGGTCTTCTCTTTGCAGTTGCATGGACCGCTTGTCAAGGGACGCTCGATGGGCTGCCACAGCTGGTCGTGGAGGACGGCCTTTAGTCGTCCTCGTGCACTGTTCAGTTGTTCTAGACAGTCAGCAACGCATTCCCTTCTTCTATACTTAGGGCTACACCTACGAATAACCCTCGACGGGAGATGGATATGCTTGAGCTTCGTCGGATTACTCTCGACGATATGCGACGTCCGATTGTAGACGAGCCACCTCGTCACTCGCAGAAAGCCCTTGATGTGCTCAAACGCCCAGAAGGGGAAGAGAAGCTCCTGCGCTGACTTGCCCTCATCGCGAGCCAGATCCTCGTCGCGCTCGTTCCTGTTATACCACTCCTCGAACCACCCCGTCAGGAGATCGAACTTGAAGCTGTACTTGTCGCCCGCGACAATGACGCTCCACAGCATGGAGCGCGGGATGTCGTAGCTTACGTCCGTCATCGACTCGTGCATCTGTCGCAGGATGTCCCTGAGCCCTGCTATGAACCGACTAGGATGCCCAATGAGGCAGTCCGTATTTCGAATGAAGCAGATGTGGGTACGACATGAAAATGGAGAGGTGAGGGTTGAGACGAGACTAGGAACGAGAATAGACAGTGAAGCAGACTCTCTTCGAGTGACTGAAGTGGCTCGACGTAGCGGACAGACTACATACTTACACGTCCATCCAACTCAGCAGCATAGAGTACAATATTATCAAAACACAGCTATCGAGTCAAGGCACAAAATCAGAAGAGAAGAAGACTGCACTAGAATTTCAATATCTAGTATACTAATAAAATAACTAGGGAAGATCGTTAGGTATACAATTTTTCGCTGCCTTTATATACAGAATGAAAGCGCCTAAAAATAGGCACATTATTAGTCATTCAGTGATGCTCTCCTTCGTTTTCTCTTTTTTTCTTTCTAGATAAACAGTTCTCTCAGGAGGCAAGTTTCTTGTAATTGTCTCAGATAATGGGCAGAAGCTTGACACTACATTTTATGACTTAGGTAGTGAAATCTAGTCCAGGTTAGATACAAAACAGTGTGAATATATCTAATTATGAGAGGTTAGCATGTTTCAACGACCAAGTTGAGTTCTTTTCTCATTGACATCAACGACACTAACACCATGTGCACAACTTTGACAGCTTGCTGCCAAAAGCTCATTCATGCTCTGATGTGCTATTCTGCGCCAGAGGTAATTAGCCAATGTCTCACAAGAGTTTGATAAATTTGTACCAAGAGAAAAAAAAAGAACTGAGCAGAGACATTGTGTCAGTTTCTTTCCTCGTGTACTGTACAGTAGGTGGGACAAAGCATGCCGTGAGGTATTTCAAGCGCCATGCTTGTCTACCTATCCAGTATTTTCTAGACAACATACTATAATAGTGCTGCTGAAGCAATTTGAATTCAGTTACTCACCACATATTACTGCAAAAGTAAATCTGTCTAGTTCTTACAGATGGAAACTTCAATCATAAAATAAAATCCTCAGAGATGAATCTGAAAACTCCGAGATCCGAGCATGCTGCATGCCAGCCCTAACCCTGTGCCCTAAGCCCTGAATCAGGTATCTCTTTCTTCTCAAAAGTACAAAATTTAATTAACACTTTTCCTGTAGTAAAAGAAAAAAGATCCAATGTAACCACTGTTTATTTGCACTGTGTCACGATAAAAGACAACTCATAGTCATACTAATACTAATTGCTCCGGTCTATACCATACTAGATCGGTCAATCAGCTCAGCCGATGGGCCTCGGCATCTTCCCTCCCCGAGTTCCCCGCAAAGCTAAATAAATACACCTCCGTTAGCCGATACATCATAGCTCATCCATCCATACGTCGTCTCTTCTTCATACTGTGATCTTATTTTATATTGAGTATATATAATATAAAAGATGGCCCCCCAAGACCGTCTCGCGCAGGTCAACGCCCACCTGAACTACCCTCAGGGCCTGTTTGCGGGTCAGACGGCCATCATCACCGGCGCGGGCCAAGGCATTGGCGCCGAAGCGGCGCGGTTATTTGCCAACGAGGGAGCGAAGGTCGTTGTGGCGGATATTGATGAGAGTGAGTATACACCTTACAGAAATTTCGTAATTTCTGTTGTATACTGATACTGATATAATACTCTCCAGAAAAAGCAAACGACGTCGTCAACGCCATCAACAGCGCTGGTCCAGGCCGCGCCATCGCCGTCGTGGGCGACGTCACTGATGCAAACTACATTGAGAACCTGGTCAAGAAGGCCGCCGAGTTTGGCAATGGCAAGATCCATATCATTGTCAACAATGCGGGTTTTACGTGGGATGGGGTCATTCACAAGGTAGTATTTCCTTTGTTTTTCGCTTGATATGACTGTCGCAGATCTGACTGTTTGTCTAGATGAGTGACAAGCAATGGGAGACTATGCTGGCTGTCCACAACACCGCGCCCTTCAGACTCGTCAGGGCTGCGGCGCCTTACTTCCGCGTCAAGGACAAGGAGCCCCGAGTGATCATCAACATCAGCAGCACCAGCGGCGTCCACGGAAATGCGTACGTGCATCCATCCATCCATCTCTCTATCAGCTGAAGAAGAATCCCATTCTAATTGTTTACAGCGGCCAAGTCAACTACTCCGTCGCCAAAGCCGGCGTCGTCGGACTAACCAAAACCATCGCCAAAGAATGGGGTCCCCAATTCGGCGTGCGCGCCAACACCATCGCCTTTGGCTACATCACCACCCGCCTGACAGCCGCGAAAGAAGACGGCGCCTACTTCACCACCTCGGACGGCACCAAGGTCGCGCTGGGCATCCCCCGGAAGGGCAAGACTGACAACAGCTACCAGGACGGCGCCGAGCCCTACGCGGATATCCCGCTGCGACGACCGGGCAGTGCCGAGGAGGCGGCGAGGGCGATTGTGGGCGTCGCCAGTCCTTATTTCTCGTATGTGAATGGGGAGACGATCCGTGTGACGGGTGGGAGGAATATGTAAGCAGGAAGAATTTTGCTTGCTGATAATTATCTGTTCTTTGGTTAGATACCTGCATGTGAATTTGTTTGATAGCAGTATTCGTATTTATGGATTGAATAGGTACATCCAAAAGAAACAAGTCTGATTATGTACTGGCCCCAGCTGAAGAAGTTCAACTGTTCAATTCAAGAGGCTCGAATCAATCCACCAACTCGCTTAAACCATGCATAGAGTCTATTCCAATGCTGTCATCTTATCCGTTAGGATAACGATGATAAACTCGCCAGCCACGTCATCGACACTCTTCCAACACCACTCAAACAAAACAAACCACACGCCGAAAAAAAAAGACTCAACACCTGCAGAACTCTATTCATTTATATATATGACCCCCGCATCGACCCCCGCAGCGACGACTTTCTTCCCCCCAGTTCGTGTAGCGGTTGCGTGTCGAGCTCCGACGGCTGGACGACATACGGCTGTCCTCCCGCTTCGGCCGGATATCCCGGCGGTTTGTTATACGCCCAGACCTGGGCTTGTGCCTGGGCGAGCTGTTGCTGCAGCTGCTGTTGTTGCTGTAGCATTTGCGTCTCTATCTCCTTTCGCTTCTTCCTTTCTCGGATGAATACGGCCAGCATTCCGCAGATGCAGGCTGCGCCTCCGAGGGAGCCTCCTACGGCGGCGCCCACTATTGTTGTGTTGTTATTATGATTATTATTATTACTGTCGGTCCCTGAGCCGGCGTTTGGATCGGGACAGCTGCTAGTAGCTTGCTCTGCTGCTGCTGCTGCTGCTGCTGCCGCCGCCCCCGTCGCGGTGGCAATCACCGTCGTCGTACTCGTCGTCGTCACCGCCGTCGACAGGCTGTCGCTGCCAGCGATACGGATCACATTTCCTGGTCGGAGGTTCGTCACTATCGTGCCGTCGTCGGTCGTGCACGAGTTGCCATTGCCGCACCACCAGCTGGTGTCGCTGCCGCAGGTCAAGAAGTTGGCATGGCCTTCGATGCCTGTCGCAAACGACAACAACAACAAAAAAAAGGTGTCAGCAAGACAACCAAGTTCTTTCAAAAAAGGAGAGGATGGCAAGCATACTATCGACACAATACCGCGGACAAGCCGCCGAGAAACATCCCCCACTGCACCCTCCGCGATACACCAGCCCTAGAGCCCCGTAACACAACCCGCTGGAAAGACACGCTTCCCCGCGCAGACAGCACGATGTCTCTGCCTGGTCTGGGTTGCAGGGCTCGTAGTTCTCTGCTACCTGGCCGTTGGGGAACGTGCAGTTGAATTGCGTTGTTGTCTGTGCGAAGGCAAGTTGTGTTGTCGAGGAGAGAAGTAGCAGTAGCGGTAGCAGTAGAGACAAACGAACAGGAGGAAGAAGAGGGATCATTTCATTCACGGCCGGCACTTCAGTTTTGTTTGGTTTGATTTGGTCGATAGGTAGGAGCGGGGTATTTCAATGACTATATTCCGTTCGTTCTTCCTTCCTTTCTTCCTGTAGACTGAATTCAAAGAGACTGTTGATCGGTTGTTTGCTGTGTGTTTGTTGCTGAGTTCAACCGCTCATCATCCAATCCAGAGAATATACTCCGTAAGAATCAGAAATAATAATCACTGTAGATGTAGACCGTTCTCCTTGCAGACGTTTTTCGACAACGACGACAACAACTTAGACATATTTCATTGATCGCGCTGGGGGGAGATTTTCAACGTGCATGTATGTACTGTACTGCACATAAAGAAAAGGTAAATGTTTGAAAGGAGAGGAGAGGAAGAAAAGACAAGGAATGGATAAAAGGAGAGAGACACACAGAGAGAGGAGAGAGGCAGGGGAGGAGAAATACATCCATCCATCCATACTACTACCCCTCGACTGACTAGACAAGTCACGCATGAAAATCCATAACTAACTAACTAACCTACGAGCCTATCCTATGAGCAGATGCATCCAGCGTATCAAGAATGATGAATCCCTGATAGCTGCCCAGTCGACGTAAAACTGCTTTGCGCTGTGGAAACATCAAGTATGATCAATGCAAGCAAACGATTGGGTACTAGAGGAGAAAGCACCTGCAGTAGAGTCACGAACGGGCGCTTAATCCTACATGCCCAAAGGCCTAACCAACCAAGCGAGATTGCTACAGTACCGACGATCAACCAATCGCTTTCCTCCTTATCTGCAGAGTATTACTCCGTACGGAGTACGGAGTACTTATTTTCAAGACGTGCGTGCTAATTATATCTGCTCGCTCACTGCAAGTGAAACGTAGCGCGTGCAGGCATTTTCAGGCTCTCAGCACCCTGTCCAATCGTCTCAGCGAGACAGTGTAGATCTTGTTGGATAAGCGCCGCTAATTATCGAGCATAGCCGATCTTGGCCTTGGGCCAAAATCCCAGGCAGCACGCATGAACAAGTACGGACAAGTACATACTACCTCAAGACTTCTTTTTCTTTTGTATTCCCTCCCGGGGATGAATTTCTATCTCGGCAACCTAAATCGCCTATGTACATGAAACTTCTGACACTGTGCATCTGCCTGGCGACAGTCCAGCAAGTTCAGAGAGATTTCCAAAAGAATGGCAGCAATTTGGTAATAGTATCCTGCGCTCCATGGCGGGCAGACGGCATATCGGGACTCTCCGATGGTGATTTCTCCCGAGAATCCAACACCTGTCTCTGCTCTGCTCAATGGAGCCGGTATTGTATTTTTCAAATGATATACATCAAAAGAAATTCAAAAGAAAGTCGATAAGTCGATGACCGCCTCCAGGGACTCTCAACATGCCAGCGTCTGGTTGTGAAATGTATGTCATGAACAAAAAAGAGGCAACAAAGCCTTAATATTAAGGCCATCGCAGCCACTGCAAGGTCGAAAAAGAAGAAAATCCTCCGACTCCAAAACAAATGCGACACAACCTTTCCTTCGTATGGGGGGTATTTTCAAAATGTGGATGAAACTCCAAATCAATCCTGTTTTCACAAAACCAAACGCCGTCTCCGTCTCTCCCTTGAATGGGGGTTTTTTTTTCTTTCTTTTATATCAAAAAAAGCCAAAGGCAAAGCCACCCGGGGAACATGTTTTCAAAATCCAAACCGGAAAAACCAATACATAATAACACAATTAAGATAGCGTGCTGCTCTCCAAAGCAAACTGCTGCTCCAGAAGACGCACGCGCCAGGAGAAAGGTATTAAACGTGGTATGTCCTTAGATCCTCGGCCGAATTCCTGGGGTATGGGTATTATGGTCCGCCGAAGTATCCGAAAAAGATATGGCCTAGTATGTCCAACGGGGGAAAATCCGGGAAGGTCGTCCAGAAAAAAAAATCCAACGGCCCTCTGTCCAAACGAGTGAAAAGTTCCAGACCGGTATGGTGGAAATCCAAAGGGAAACCAGGCGAAGAAAATCCGTCCAGTGGAACCTCAGGTCCAAATTAAAATATGGTGTAAGTGGCGAAAAAAAAAAGTCATGATAATCGTAACGCACGTGAATGGAGCGGGATTTTTCGTTTTTTTATGTTCTTTCTGCGAGAGCAGACATCGGTTGCGATACATTTAGTACGCAGTAACGTATGGGTCGGCGGGCTGATTGGGAATCAGGGACTTCTCTGCGACATCGGTGAGATGGATAGGAGACCCCCAGAAATCGGGGCCCGCTTGAGGGTCGACACAAGTGATGTTGTCGGCCTGGTTGTCTCCGGAGTAGTCTGACACGGACGAGACCGAACTGATCGTCTCGTCGGTGGTGAGGGAGGTATCCGACACCGCCGAGTCAGAGTACTGAGCGTTGATAAGCTCCGCCGGAGGGGATGGTGGGAATGGGCAATAGTTGGGGTACGACACTGGCTCCTCGACATATCCGGGCTTCCTGGGACCATTGGTGGTAAACCTTGGGCAATCCAGAATCAGTCTGCGAAGCTCCGGGATGGTGATCCGCTTGACCGGGTCGCATTCAAAGATGCGCCTCAAGATGGCATTCAACTCCGGGGACACAGGCAGGATCGTCCTCAGAAACTCCGGGTCCTTGAGGTAGGCGCGGAAGGTTGTGTCCTCGGTTGAAGCCCGCTTCCAGGGATTGCGGCCACAGGTCAGATTCACCAGGATCACACCCAAGCTCCAGACGTCATTGGGACCGGACGCGTAGCACGAGAACGGCCTCGGGTTCGTCTGCTGGCACTCTGTGGTGGTACGAGCTAGTCAGTCCTGAATCAAAGAGTAAGCATTGGGGTGGGATCATACCGGGCGACATGTAGAAAGTCGATCCGCAACCGAAATCCGACGTGTAGTAGTCGGTCGTCGCCAGGCCAAAGTCTGCCAGCTTGACGGTCATGCCTCCGTCGGTGACGAGGATGTTCTCGGGCTTGAGGTCGCGGTGGTAGATCCCAATGGAATGGCAATACTGGACGGCATCCAAGATCTGCAGGAAGGCGCGCTTTGCCAAGGGGTCGTTGCCCACGAAGTGGCCTCGTTCTGTGATACTGGAAAACAAATCGCCCTCGGGGCAAAATTCAATCACAACATACGTGCAATCCACCGAATCCATGATGCGAACCAGGGAGACCACGTTGGGATGCTGGCTAGCCATATGGTGGAGCTTGATCTCCCGCTGCTGGAATTTCCGCTGCCTAGGGTCGAGACCGGTCTTGTTCAACGCCTTGACGGCGTAGGGCACATTGGTGTGGATGTCGACGGCGGCGTAGACAACGCCATAGGCGCCGACACCCAGGATGCTAGTGAGTTCCAGGCGGTTGGCCAGGAGCAGTCCTAATCGGTCCTCCGGGGCATAGCAACGTGGTACAGGGGACGGAGGGGGAGTAGGGAGCATGTTGGGATACATCATGGGATGGGGATGGAAATTGTCGCGATTGCTGTTCAGCTTAAGTCCAAATCAAATCACTATCGGAATCCTGGAATCAATTGAGGCCTGTTTTGGAATTGGGAAGATCCTTTGGGTCGAGCCGAGCAGATCCAAAAAAAAAAAACCGACGGTCGCCAAAATCCAAGGAATGTTTCTTCACGACGCCGATATTGTCCCAGGGCGGCAAAAAAAAAAAGGAGCGGAGCGGACCGTTGGGTGGTTGATATGGATGTTGGTGGTACTGTTGATATGGCGGATATTTCCTCCCGAAGTTCCCCAGAAACCGAACCAAAACACCGCGCGCGCGAGATGGAGAGAGGATTGCGGACGAGGTAGGACGAAGAGAAGTAGATTAGGGACGGAGGAGTCGGAGAGAAGGAGGAGGAGGAGGAGGAGGAAGGGGAGGACGGCGGATTGGAAGGCAGAGGGGAGGAGGGAAGGAGGAGATTTAGATAGATAGAGCGATAGGAGAGGCGCGGCGACGATAGAACCGGGAAGGGAGAAATAGGCGGAGTCGGGAAACAGGATTCAGCATGGCGTGGAGGCGTGCTGGAATCGACAGGCGTCCGAGCTCCTGTTCACGATTAGCACGGATTAACCTCTCGGGCTGCAAATAGCAAGAGGGGCGAGGCAGCGGCCTCCACCGGGCTCAACAGTCACAGCATGGGGACTAGACCAGGGCCTGGCAGAGGGAATAGGGGGGGTGAGGGGCATTGGACGGGTGCCTAATTAACTAACTCAATAGTGGCCATCGCCATCGCCAGCCGCCAAAGCAGTGAGTGGGCGACCCAGAACAATCAGAGAGAGGAAGAGAAGACGAGGTCGAGACGGAGCGTGGGACGGGGGGGGGGGGGC